TTCGTGCAGGGAAGGCATGCGTGATCAGAGGTGCACTGCTGCAGGAAAGACGGAAGCGGCAAAGCAGAGCCATGGGGGAGATGGCTGAGACTCCGCCTGTCTTTCCTGCAGGAGCGCGCCTCTGATCAGGCACGCCTTCCCTGCACGAATGGAACTGCGATCGCGGCCATCTCCCCACCCCGACGCACCATTTGCACCCATCCCTCCCTCCCCCAGTGTGCCCGCAATCATGCCCATCTCTCTCCTCCCCACCCCCCCAGCACACCGGTATGACAGGCGTGTGCAGGGATGACAGGCGTGTTCTCGGGGGGGGGGGGAGATGGCCGTGCTTGGGCTTTGAGTGTGTGGTGGGGGAGATGGCCACGATCTTTGTTGTCACTTTGCTTCACATTTTTCTGATTTAAAAAATGGTTACAGAACAGATTAGCCTTATTTACATTGAACCTTATGGGGAAATTTAACTTGGGTCATGACCAGACCAGAGTCCTGGAACGGATTAAGTTCATGAGCCAAGGTACCACTGTATAGGTAAGGTATAAAATGTGCCTGTAGAATTAGCAAATGCAAAGAAACGGTCATACATTGATGTTCCAGTAAACAAGATATACAGCCTACTAAGAAATAAGCTCCATTAGTTTAATTGTCATTATTCCAAAGTAATTTTGTTTGGAATTGAGTTTCCTACAGACCAAATCGGCCGCGAACTGAAATTTCATAAAAATTTTGCCACAGGTCGCGAACTCTGCATCGGGTGACAATTGAGAGTGCGCCCGCCTTCCATGCATGGGCGCGATTGTATTGTGGTTGTGCTGGGGTGGGAGATGGCTGCAATCATGCTCAGGGGGCGGGTGGGGGGAGATGGCTGCAAGCATGCCATCAAGCACTTGGGAACACTTAGTACTTCCCCAGTCACTAACCCCCACAATCTCTTTGACTATTCTTTCCTTAATGTAATGCTATGGACTGGAAGATCTAAGGCTTAGATGCATAGACGATCCATGCAGTGAGGTGTAGGACTGAGGCTTTGATCTATTCTGCCAGGTCTGTCATAATACATCTTTAATCTAGAATTTTGTGTATAAGCACCTACATGAGATCTCTCCTTTTACAGTGTGCCCACCTCATTCTCATACCACATGAATAAACTTCATACTCAAGCTATGTGTTGAACGGAGGCTAACTTTTCATATTGTGCTCTGCCAAATTTGGAGCATGGTTTCAGTGAGCAGCAATTCTATTTATACACATATGCTTTGTGTGTCTTTGTACTGTGGGTGAGGGTGTGTGTGTGTCCCAGATGAAGATATCTTGAGCATTTGTCGTAATGATCAGGCTATCATTATGAGAAGTCCCTACTCTTTTGTTCAATGCACTGTTACAAATTCTTGTTCTCTGGTAGCATGGTTTTAGAATTTCCTTTTAAAGCCTGATGGCTTTGCAAGTACAAAATCTCCTCTTAACATTGCAGTGACCTCCTGCTTTGATAGATCACTGATTCACCTATTGCAAAGGGTCAAATTAGTAGTATATTACACATGTAGAAGCTCACTGATGACTGTCAAGCTTGCATCTGTTATCACCAGAAAAGTCATTGGTGTGTGTATGTGTGTGTGCATGGAAATATCTCTAATGTCTTTTTTTAGTAACAAGATACTCAAGTATGAGGTTCATATATTAGGAAACTTCAGCCCAGTCCTGTGAAGCCACAAATGGTAGCTTGGTATTTTCTCCAGGGCTCATAAGCTGCTTTTAACTGGCTCAGCATCTGTCTATTTCCTCCCTTGCTGCTGGTCCTTCACCACATTAGACTTCTCTGAGGAAGATGGCCTCCACAAACTAAGGCTCCTCTCAGACTCAAAGTCACCACACTTATCTCTACTTGCAATAGCAGTGTCCTGTCACCAAATAAACATTCTCCTCTCTCACCTCAGCAGTACTACAGAAGATTACATTCCAATGTATTTAAAATACATTTAAGTCCAAACCATGTCTTCTTAAAATATCTTTTGCTTTCTTAGCACTAAGGGGAAGAAGGAAATGCATTATTTTTACACGTGTTATAAAGGTGTACAACAGAGCAGATGTGATGCTAGTTCACTGGAAATCCAACTGAAATCATTTCCTTGGCATTAGCCAGATGAAAATTACATGTGTACCTAAGTTTAACCATGGTTCCCTTGAAAACTTGATTTTTTTAAAAAAATGTAGATAATTGTAAATCATTATGAGCTTTGTCCATATAGCACTAAATCATGTTTGACACTGGGTAGGTAAGTGAGATGGGCAATCTCTTCAGAGGAGAATGAGGATATAATATAAACATCCAGCTTCTGTTGGCTAACTTTGGTTTGCAGAACACAGTATTTTATCTGCAGTGGACGTATAATAATAGTTATCCTGGTAGGATGATAGTTACTACTACTAATAATAATGAAGTACAATGTTAGACTAACATATCTGTCCTAAAGATACTCCTAAGCTGTCTATATAAAGCACTTCACTAGCAATCTAGTGGTAATAGTAAAAGCTTTTTCAGTAAATAATGCTGTTTCTTGAGTTTAAATCAAGATTTCTCTGGTAGAAAAATGTCCTATAGTACTTATGGTACTTCAGGTTCTATTTCTTGAAGGTTTTCTGAGGTCTATAATTAGGTGGCTGTTGAATCACATTGATGTTTCAAAGTTTATTTCTGGTAAACTAATCTCTCTCCAGCACAGAGAGAAGATTAGACCAATACTAAGGCTTTCTGGATTATATTAAGAGAAGTTTGCTTAAATGTATGGAGAAAGCAAATCCATCTACAATTTATTTTCCACATACACATCTTTGGAGGATTCATATATCTATTATGTTGAACTTCTGATATTGAACTTAAGATCTGTCTTGAACTAGGCCTTATGAAAATGCCCATTGTGCATAAAATTTATGTTTGCCGCTGCTTTACTTTACTAAGAAGACACATGCTCTGGAGCTGGGAAGATTTCAGGTACAAAAGCAGTTTAAAAAATAATAGTGGCTTGAGTTTGAAGAGTTACTGTAAAGTCATTGTAAATGTAAAGATTCACCCACGAGCACTGCCTGTTCTCAACCACTGAACTCTGTTATGATATATTCCAGTTCTGAAATTCTACATTTTCAAAAGTAGCTTGACACCTAGGATGGGAAGGGACTGTTGTTCAGTAAACTCCAAGTTAAATCTCCAACCGCTATATATGGAAGTCATTTTATGGTTCTTTTAATCTAAGTGGCAAAAAAGCCCCAAAGTAAATTGGAAATTCAGATAGTGTATGTGGCATGTTTGACTTTTGGTTATAGCAGTTTCAGTACCACAAACACAGGTCCTTTTTCATTCTCTTTGAATATAGCTTTCTGCCCTTTGTGTTGATAGCTGACCATTCTCCCAGAACATGCATCAGCTCTAAATTATTATCAACCTTGATTTTAGAGCCATAATAAAATATGAAACGGCAACACTTTTATGCACTTCTGTTATTTTTGCCTAATTTTATTCTCATTGCCAATTTATGGGTTTTGTTTGCTCAAAATTTGGGTAACATAGTAGAGTTTTGATTTTTTTTTCTTCAGTATAACAGACCATGAACAGTCCTGTTTATAACCACATGAAATTGTTGCAACTGCTGCCTTTGTCATTATGGACAAACATGCCGATATTGTTTCCATATATCTCTCTTTCATGTGCATCTTGACAGCATATTAACATCTGCAGTGAAAATGAGCTCCATTCTTCAGCTGACAGATGGGTCCTTTTGCTCTTTATTTCTCAGAGACAAAGAAAAATACAGACAGTGCATTTGGATTTCCTTGATCACTTAAACCATGTAAGATCTTTGGGGAATTCCCCATCTTGTTGATGGGGGAAGTACTTACCTAATAAAACCCAAAGATTTTTTTTTAAAGTTCTTCTGATTTCGTTGATGAATTAAAATTGATGGGTCACTAAGTTGTAGCTGACAACATTTACTGATGGCAGCTCCTACTTTGCATGATTTGGAGATTTTTTAAAAATAAAGGTCAGGAGTCGTTGTAAAAGCTTTAAAAGTAATTTAAAAATCAGTGGTCACATTCTGCCAGGAATGTCTCCTGTACACAATTCATTGAAATGAATTGGAGCATACCTACTAAGAGCACACAGGGGACCTTGCCCCCTTCCACTCCATTCAGTAAGATCTGTTCTGAGAGGCTTGTCTTGATGAACACCTGGTGATCACACAGCTCTTGAATCTGTGTTGCTGGAGAACAAACATAATATTTGGCTTGAGTGTTTGTGTATGGACAAGCCAGAGTTAACATCCTTCGAAGGTAACTTCAAGGAAGTGCAAGCATATGGTGCTGCTGACTGATGACAATTCTTTGTTGCTTTTCTTGTTCAGCGGCAGAGACTGAGTTATACCTTGGGGAGAGATGTTTTAATTTTTCCTCTCACTCCCTTATTTTGTTTCCTAAATCAATCTGAGAACTTTCCATACAGGAGAAACCGTAGAGGAGGGCCATTTTATCACTCTGTTCCTTAAGGACTCAACAGTTTTTAAAGGAAAAAGATCTTCCCCCCTCCCACCTCGCTTTCTCTTTCCCTTCAGTTTTCCTACACAATGGAGCTTTCATAGAACCTCTCTCCAAAAGGAATAGCTCCAGCCTTTGTGTTGAAGGGTGTGCCTATTGGCAAGGCTCGCTGAGGCAGACAGCTTGGCTGGTGATTAACAAAGGTCATTAGACTTTGGAATCTGGCAGGCAGAGTCAGATGGTATGTCTTCTGTGCATAGAAGAACGACTCCCAAGAGGCTGAAGCGTATTGGAGGGCTTTTCCCTCCCTTCTCTCCTTTTCTCTCTCCTCTCTATTTTATTTTTTAATGTTGTTTTTATGTTAGAATAGGTGACACTTCTTGTTTCAGTCAGTTAAGCCAGTTTTGTTAAGTCTTTTTTCTTAAACAAAAGCTGCTGTTGCTGGTATGTTTGTGGGGTCAAGAAGGAGCCTTTCGAGATACTTAGCTCATGGCTGTGTTAGGGGAGACAACAGATGCTGATCTGACATCCATGTTGGAGCCTTCCAGCATCTGTTCTTTCCTGCAAGAGCTGAATCCTAAGAAGTTCTGGTCTTCTACAATACTGGTTCCTAACACCAGCCTTGGAAAGAGTGAGAGATGAGGTGGTGTGAGGAAGAATCTTTTACACATGGAGATGAGATTGAGAAAGTGAAGCCATGTTGTGTGCTAGCTAGGAGCATTAAGTCTCTCTCTCTCTCTTTCTCTGAGTACATGACTTGTCTGCTCTAAAATGGCTGCACTCTCTCTCCTAAAGCTCAGAGGACTAGGGCAGCTTAGTGAGTCTTAAAGCTTCAGTGACGCAGGAGCTCACATATCTCTTGAAAGTGTGATAAACACATTCAGCAGAGCTGTGGCTTGTTGGCTCAGATGAAAGGACTATACTTGGAGGGGGAGGTGATGAGGATGGACAGGGAAAAGTGGAGGATGTGCTTCTGTCTGTCTGTGTGTCTGTCTTTCCTTCCTTCTAGTTCTTCCTATGGAGCATTCTGAATTCAGGAGTTGTCTGCTGCACCATGGCAAGAGAAGAGGGCGGGGGAGGGATTGTTTTCAGGTCTAATGGACTGTGCTAAAGGAGACTTGTGGGGTGGGGCCTCCCTGCTCACTGCTGTAATTTGATCCAGAGCAGATAGCAACCTCTTCCACACAGTCTGGTCTGGTGCTTGCACATAAAAGATTGAGTATCTTGATTGTTGTTAACTTTGTTAGCTGAAAAGAAGGCAGTGCCACTGTTCATTCTTTCAATGCAAGGAAGGAGAAGAGAGCAAAGAGGAAGGAGGCAGAGTGGTGAACCAACGCATTGCAGGGTTTTAAATCCTGTTGGTACATGTGCCTTTGTGTTAAAAAAAAAAAAAAGACTGTGCTACCAGGAAGAACTTTCTTCTGATGCAGAATCCTGACAGCAAAGCCTTTCTTTATTATAATACTGTTGTGCTTTGAGCACTCGGTAGCAGTAACTTTATATTGCTGTACAATGAGAGAAGGGAATTTTCATCAGGACATGTTTTGGCTGCTGTTCCATCTCTTGGGCTTGTGGAGTTCCTAGGCTGAATGTGACCTGCTTGAGTATGTGAGGAGACTTTAAAATAAGCAATCCATTCATTAAGATAATAGTTGCTGCTGGATCCATGGAATAATGGCGTAGAGGTTTTCAATTTATCTTTCATATACATGTCTTCCTACTGAAAGTGGTATGTTTCCACTTACTCATTAAGCATCTTCTAAAATAATAGAAATGATAGATTTTAACAGGATCATGTACTAAACTTGCTTTCTTTCAGCAGCATTTGACCCATGAAACACTGGAGGTGGGTAGGGGGGTGGGAATGTAATTCTGATCATTCTGTTGAAAGATTCTTACTGTATGATGGAAAGACAACTAGGTGCTATATTTATATTCCCCACAGCTGAGGAGATATTTTAAAATTCACTTAAGTGGTAGAATAATATTTATAATATTCAAAGTAATAGGTTGGGAAGTGAGATAACTAGTTAAGGTATTTTACAGGGAAAAAATGTGTGTATGGGGTCATGTATTGGCTAGAGAGTTGGGTTTACCATGGAGAGATCTGGATAGAAATCCAGCTCAACTCACAGAGTGACCTTGGGCCAGTTAGGCAATTTAAGCAAAACCTGCTTCACAGTATTGTTTTGTGTGTGGTACTGTGTGTGTGACACTTCCGCTCTTTGTGGGAAGCGTGGGATAAAATATTGTAAGTAAATCTATCAGAACTTTCAGGAAAGTGTCTCAAAATACCCCTTTGTTACTTTTTTCATTGCATTCTGTGGTTGGTGACTTCCTGTCATGCACTTCTTTCTTTTTTGTTGGAGATGGACTGATGATAGCAATAGGTAAGAGCTGAAGAAAGACAATAGGACAGGTTCTGTACAAAAAGTAGTTACAACTGCCATAGCAGAAGATGCACAGAAATCTGGAGAAGGACATTGTGTATTGGTGTTTCTGTGCAAATGCTAGGCACTGCTAAGCCAAGATGATAAGACTTGGTTTTAGAGGAAAACCTAGGCATGGTGGTATCATGGAAACTTGAAGAAATGGAGAGAACCAGTGATTATCTGTCTCTGGATATAAATTCTGTAAAAACCTGGATCTATAAAAATCCATAAAAATTGTTGCTCTATATGTTTAAGGGAGCATAGTGTTGAACAGCCTAGAAAATCTAAATGGGGCAAGCATTTCAACAGAAGCTCTGCAGGTAGCGCTTCTGTTGAAGCTCTATGTAGGCAACCATGGAGGTAGTCAGACTGTTGGATGACAGAGGAGTTAACTGAGTACTAAAGAAGGATAAGGAAATGGTGGAGAAGCTGATTTTTTGTCATCTGTCTTTACTACAACAAGACACCTATACCTAATGTTTTCAGGAAAGGAGTCTGAGGAATGAAGGCAGATGCAGGTGACAAAAGTGTGGAGTAGTGGTTAGAGTGCTGCACTGGGGTTTGGTTCTACTTCCCACATGACAATAAAACTGATGGGTGACCTTGGATGAGTCACATTCTAGGATTGTTGTGAGGATAAATAGACTGGAGTGGGAAATCTAAGGGCTTTGAATTCCTTGCAAAAAGAAAAAAAGTCACGATACATGAATTTTTGTCATGCTGTTGTTGATTGTACTGGGCCTGGATGGTATCCATTCTGGAGTTCTTAACTCAAATATTTAATTGTTAATGATCTAAGAAAAATATTTAGAATATGAATATGACTTCTGTAAAGGTAAATCCTGTTTCACCAAACTTTTAGAGTTGTTTGAGAGTAATCACGTGGATGGGCTGATCTGGTAGGTATAGTTTGTTTCCAGAAGGATTTTGACAATGTTCCTCACCAACAGGGTAGGTTTGATTGAAATCAAATCAATTTAAATCTTAAATCACTAGTCAGTAAGACTAGATTTAAATCATGGTTTATCACATAATTTGCATGCATGCCTTACCCATAGATAAAGGAACTAACGTCATTAAAATATTGCTGAACTGGATCTCTTTTATGACCTGCTGCCATTATAGGTTTTCTCCTCCTGGAAGAAATAATATAAGCTTCATGCTACACACAATTGTGGAGTATTCTGCAGAAAAGGTTTCACTTTCATTTTTACTGCTTGCCCCTCCCTCCATACACTTAGCTTCTTGTGCAGATCTATTCTACTCCCAACAAACTTCTTCTATTCATTGAAAATTGTGAAACTTAGCACTTAAGAGGTAAGGGGCTGGTTCTATGGATATAGATTTGCAAAGGAGCAATGGGATTAAGGTATGTTTATTTTATAACATTTTTTTCTGTGAGGCACATCATCTCTGCCCACACACATTCAAAGTATTGAGAACTGTAAAACCAAGCATTTGTGGTAATAACCTTTAGGTTAAAAAAAGCCCAATAATGTTATGGAAACCTCTGGAAGAATATGACAGTGTGAATGGATTCATCCACCCCCCCCCTCCCAATTAATGGAAGAATGTAAGCAGGGATCCATATTGGGACCAAGGTTTTTCAGCTTACTCATAAATGATTTGAAATTAGGAATGAACATTGCAGTGGCCAAGTTTGCTGATTTCAAATTATTTTGGGTGATTAAGGATCTTTCCAAACTGGGAGAATTGGCACCAAAATGGCAAATTCCACTCAGTTGTGAACTCTCTGTAACTAACTAAGAAAGAGATCGTGTGGTTGTAGTGGGCAGCCTGAATGAAAATGACAACCTACTATGTGGCTTTTGTGATAAAAGCAAGTGTGATGTTGGGCTTAAATAAGCAAGGAATTGGAAAAAAAAAACTGCCAATATCATACTGCTTTCATAGTGGTGCAACCAAGCCTAGAATACTGTGTGCAGTTCTGGTAACCATGCCTAAAAGAGGGATATTGTAGAGTTGAAGAAAGGTGCAGAAAATGGCAGTTAAACTGATCGGTGGGCTGAGCAACTCACTTACGAGGAAATGTTGCAACATCTGGAATTGTTTAGTACAGAAAAAGATAGACATGATAGAGGTGTACAGAATTATGTATAGTGCGGAGAAAGTGGAAAGGAGACTTTTTTCTCTCCTGTAATAATAGAACCCAGATTCATCCCATAAAACTGATTGGTAGGAGATTCAGGAAAGACAAAAAGTGCGCTTCACAAAGTGCATATGATGTAGGGATCGTCAGCAATCTGAATGGTTTTAAAAGCGGATTAAGCAAATTCAAGGAGGTTAAGGCTATCAATGAATAGTCTTGATTTCTATACGCTGTTACCAGTTTCAGAGACAGTACACGCGCTGCTTGTGAATTTGGGAGGTTGTTTTTCTCACGTCCTCTATGGATTTCCTGTGGGCAGGTAGCAGGCCACTATACAAATAGAATTCTGGATTCAGTGGACCTTTGGTGTGATCCGTCATGACTCTTGCATTCTTACGTTTTTGCAGTGTCACCTCTGGAATTCCTGTAATTTGCTGCTGCTCTTTTTTCTGCAGTTTTTTTCGGGCAAGGGTAAATGTTTCTGATAAAATCCTCCTATCTTTTCTCAAGGCTTAATCTGTGCCATTCAACATATTTTATATGCTACTAGTTGTTAAATTAATGAACAGTTCCCTTACACTTTATCGCCTTTTCCCTTTTTTCTTCCTTAGGATTTCCTAATGTAAAACTTACCAATAAGGACTATGGAGGTGCTACAGTGTGATGGCTGTGATTTTCGAGCACCATCCTACGAAGATCTTAAAGCTCACATTCAGGATGTTCATACCGCATTTCTACAGCCCACAGATGTTACGGAGGAAACACCTGGTCAATCAAGGTTTAGTTCCATGAACAGCAATGACCAGGCAGAGGTGGAATATTCTTCTGTAAAAGATGAATTTGCAGTTGGAGATGACATGGCAGGTAAATATTGCTCATTTCTTCATATTTGAGATGTTATTTTAATTATTTAGTCTACTGCAGGATTCTCAGATTATGATTCTGTTGAGCCATGAGGACATCTCATATATTATATCATAAATGGTTTTGAAAGTGAACTGCTTCCTATAGTTACCATATTCAGTATTTAGCAACCCATTGGATTCCATTGCAAACCTATTATGAACATCTTGCAATAGCCTATACCATTGAATCAATGGCATTCAGTTACAGTTGTTCCCACAAGTTTGTGCTTAACTTAATCAAAAGTTTAAAAATGTCATTGCCTCTTATGATGCAGTTAGCTCCCAATTTTTGTCCACTCATAAGACTTATTTGATAATATTCAGGAATTCCAACATTACTTCTTAGAAAGTTTATACTCTCCTGAAAGGTATGTTCATAGTTAATTGTCTGAGTATGCAAAGCTAGATGGCACCTTTATATATAGATAGATAGCAGTGGGCACCCATGCATGCACACACTTACAGAAATAGCAATGAATACATTTCAAGTGAGGTATTGAGGAAACTCCATTCGTAGCCAATATAACTGATAGTAATCTTTTGCTATTGGTGGCCTTTGTCACAGACATATCTTTGTTAGAATGGCATTCTGTGTCCCACGTTATTTTTTACATAGTTGTTCATTTCTTCTTTGTCACATCTAGTTATGCATTGACCAACAAATTCCCTGGAAGGAAATTGGTTGTGGTAGATTCATATGATTACGTCTCAGGAAACATTTATATACCTAATCCTTTGGAGTAACTGCAATTTTGAGAGAAAGGAAGAAAGAAAAAAAGGACAAGGTTGACAGTGTAGTATTATATTCATTTCTAAAGTATTGTTTGTTATTGCTTCTCTTATAGGACAAAATGCAGCTCAGTTGGGGACTGGAAATTACTATAGCCATAGCCAGAATTATTATGGCCAACATATGCTCTCCAAACCAGCAAACAAGTTTTTCCAGTGTAAATTCTGTGTGCGTTATTTCCGATCCAAAAACCTTCTCATAGAACACACACGAAAAGTGCATGGTACTCAGGCTGGAGGATCGCCAGCAGGGTCACCTGGTGCAGGCTCCTTAAATTACAACATCATGATGCATGAGGGCTTTGGTAAGGTTTTTTCTTGTCAGTTCTGCACCTACAAATCACCAAGACGTGCAAGGATTATCAAACACCAGAAGATGTACCACAAGAACAGTCTGAAGGAGAGCTCCACTCCTCCTGCTGCTTCAGCTGCCATCTCTGAATCAGCATCTACATCCATACCAGTACAGGACTCATGTAAAGAGCTTCCAGCTGAAGTGGTAGAGCGCAGTATCTTGGAATCTATGGTCAAGCCCTTAACTAAGTCAAGAGGCAACTTCTGTTGTGAATGGTGTAGTTACCAGACACCTCGAAGGGAACGTTGGTGTGATCATATGATGAAAAAGCATCGCAGTATGGTGAAAATATTGTCAAGCCTGAGGCAGCAACAGGATGGCACCAATATGCCAGATGTATCAAGCAAAGGTCCACCAAGCCCCACTGCAAACTCTAACTATATCCCCATGAATGCTTCTGGACGAGAGATGCCTAATGCAAACATCCCAAACTACAGAAGTTCTATGAACAATTCCCTTGTCAGGTCCAACTCTTCATCTTCTAAATTCTCTTCTGTTTCCTATCCTCCTATGAAACATAAGGCATCTCACAACTCGGGCATTGTTAATTTGTCCGACAGATCTCGCTATGGGATTGCTGATATTGCAAATTCTTCTGCTGATATGGATACAAACAGTATGCTGAATGACTCCAGTTCTGATGATGAGCTAAATGAACTAGACAGTGAAAATGGATTGAATTCCATGGATCACCAAGCCTCAGGATTAACTGCGGAGCAGCTGATGGGATCTGAGGGCCACAAGTTACTGGAGACAAAGGGGATTCCATTTAGAAGGTTTATGAATAGGTTTCAGTGTCCTTTCTGCCCTTTCCTTACCATGCATCGGAGGAGCATTTCCCGCCATATTGAAAACATTCACCTGTCTGGAAAGACAGCAGTGTACAAATGTGATGAATGTCCTTTCACTTGCAAGAGCTCATTCAAACTTGGAGCTCATAAACAATGTCACACTGGTGCAGCCTCAGATTGGGATGCAGTGAATTCTCAGACTGAAAGCATAGCTTCTTCTTTAAATGAAAGCACAGTATCCTATGATGGGGGCAATATGAATGGCAGGAAGTCTGGGGGAATGATGGATTCCATGCAGCAGCAGCAACAATCTCCACAGTCCAATTCACAGCATCCGTATAAATGTACCATGTGCAATTACTCCACAACTACTTTGAAAGGCCTTCGGGTTCATCAGCAGCACAAGCACTCATTTTGTGACAACTTGCCAAAATACGAAGGCCCCTCATCAAACACGCCACAAGACAGTGAGCCTGATGCTCATGCCTCTCCCAGCACTGTGAAGAAAAGCCAGACCTCAATTCTTGGGCTGTCTTCTAAAAACAACTTTGTAGCAAAAGCCTCTAGAAAGATGTCCAATGACTTCCCCCTAGATCTCTCACCAGTGAAGAAGAGAACAAGAATTGATGAGATAGCTAGTAATTTGCAAAGTAAAATAAGTCAAAACAAGCAGCAAGAAGATGCAGTAATTAATGTAGAGGACGATGAAGAAGAAGAGGAAGACAATGAAGTGGAGATAGAAGTAGAACTGGATAAGGAAGAAGAACAAGCTGAGCCACTGATGGAAATGTCATCATTCACTTCCCAACCAATGTGGGGAAGAGATACCAGTGAGTCTCAGAAAGAGTCAAATTACAGGAATATCCCCCATGATTACAATTCCACCAATGGGGCAGAAATTGAACTAACTATATCTGAGGATGAGGAAGACTATTACTGTTCTTCAATTGGCTTGAAGGACCAAGGTCTTAATTCATCTGCTTTAGGTAGCCAATCAAGTATATATGGATCTGATCAAAACAATGAAAATTCTGATTATGGTGATTCTGGAAGGCTTTACTATTGTAAACACTGTGACTTCAGCAACAAATCTGCCAGGAGTGTTAGCACCCATTATCAGCGGATGCATCCCTACATTAAATTCAGCTTTAGATATATCCTGGATCCAAATGATCACAGTGCAGTCTATCGATGTCTTGAATGTTACATTGATTATACAAACTTTGAAGACCTGCAACAACATTATGGTGAACATCATCCTGAAGCTATGAATGTACTAAATTTTGATCATTCTGATTTGATCTACCGTTGTCGTTTCTGTTCTTACACTAGCCCAAATGTTAGGAGCCTAATGCCACATTACCAAAGAATGCACCCAACAGTCAAAATTAACAATGCAATGATATTCTCAAGCTATGTGATTGAGCAGCAAGAGGGATTAAGCTCAGAGTCACAAACTCTGAGGGAGATCTTGAACTCTGCTCCAAAAAGCCTTGCCACTTCAACTCCAGTTGGACGTGGGACTGGTGTATCTGCTGCTTTTAGCAAAAATTCTTCAAAAGGTAATAGCCCAGAATCTGAAAGTCAGAAGGAGTCATCACTAAACAGTGTTGTGGTTTATGACTGTGATGTTTGCTCATTTGCAAGTCCTAATATGCATTCTGTCTTAGTGCATTACCAGAAAAAACATCCTGAAGAGAAGGCTTCTTATTTCAGGATTCAGAAGACTATGCGGGTGGTATCTGTCGAGAGGGGTTCTGCTCTAGCTCAGATGGCTTATGAATTAGGATCACCTGTCTCCCCCAAAATGTCCAACATGTCTTCACAGCTACCACCTCCACCACCTCCAGACCTTACCACTGAGCTTTACTACTGCAAACATTGCTCTTACAGCAACCGCTCAGTGGTTGGAGTGCTAGTGCATTACCAGAAAAGGCATCCAGAGATAAAAGTGACTGCAAAATATATTAGGCAGGCACCTCCCACTGCAGCAATGATGAGAGCTGGAGATATGCCTCCTGGTGTTCACAGAGCACCAGTATCTATGCAACAGCTTAACAGAGGCAGTTCCGAGAGTACTGTAGCTCCCTCAGAGAATGAGATGTTCTTCTGCCAGCACTGTGATTATGGAAACAGGACTGTGAAAGGTGTACTCATACATTACCAAAAGAAGCATCGTGATTTCAAAGCCAATGCAGATGTGATTCGGCAGCACACTGCCACAATCAGGAGCCTTTGTGATCGTAGCCAGAAAAATTCCCCTGGTGGCCTACAGAGCCCCTCTTCTAATACCGAGCGAGAAAAGGCTAAGCTAAGAGCTCTCAAATGTAGGCAGTGTTCTTACACATCTCCTTATTTCTACGCTTTGCGGAAACACATTAAAAAGGACCACCCAAGCCTGAAGGCCACAGTCACATCTATTTTGCGATGGGCATTTTTGGATGGCTTGATAGAGGCTGGATATCACTGCGAATGGTGCATCTATTCTCATGCAGAGCCTAGCGGCTTGCTTGTTCATTACCAAAGGCGACATCCTGAGCATTATGTTGACTACACCTACATGGCAACAAAACTCTGGGCAGGGCCAGATCCTTCTCCTCCAGCTCTACTAATTCCATCTGAGATGAAAAGCTATAAATGCAGAGATTGCATTTTTGAGGCATCATCCATTTGGGACATTACTAATCACTACCAAGCTTTTCATCCCTGGGCTATGAATGGAGATGAATCAGTATTGCTAGATATCATCAAAGAGAAAGATGCTGCTGATAAAGTCAACCCAGCATCCAATGATGCTGGGACCAGGATGAATTCTGAGGACCAGATAGCAGCATCACAGGTAGACCATGATACAGAATATGCAGAGGATTCAAACCTTTCCCAAGACAAAGCTATTCAGCTTACTTCAGTGAATCCTGCAATATCCTCCACACCATATCAGTGCACAGTGTGCCAGTCAGAATATAACAATTTGCATGGGCTTCTGACTCATTATGGTAAAAAACATCCTGGGATGAAAGTTAAAGCTGCAGATTTTGCACAAGACATAGATATTAACCCTGGAGCTGTGTACAAATGTAGGCATTGCCCATACATTAATACCCGCATCCATGGTGTTCTCACACACTATCAGAAAAGACATCCCTCAGTAAAGGTCACTGCGGAAGATTTTGTGCATGATGTGGAACAACCTAATGACATGAACCAGAATGATGTGGAAGAGACTAGTAGAATTTTCAAGCAAGGGTATGGTGCTTACAGGTGTAAATTGTGCCCTTACACACATGGCACTTTAGAGAAACTCAAAATTCATTATGAAAAATATCATAACCAGCCTGAGTTTGATGTGTTTGCACAATCTCCTCCTAAATTCCCTGCTTCTCTGGAGCCTGAAGTAGTCACTGAAATGAAGCCTTCTCCAGAAATTGCTCCTGAGGAGATTGTTGGAGAAGATTCAGTGCCTCCTTCACACTTCTCAAGTTCCCATTTGGTTTCTCACACTGTATTCCGATGCCAGCTCTGTAAGTATTTTTGTTCTACCAGGAAGGGGATAGCTAGGCACTACCGAATAAAACACAACAATGTTCGGGCCCAACCAGAAGGCAAGAATAACCTCTTTAAATGTGCTTTATGTTCCTATACGAACCCTATTCGTAAAGGTTTGGCTGCACATTATCAGAAACGCCATGACATTGATGCTTACTATACTCATTGCTTAGCAGCTTCAAGGACTGTCAGTGACAAGCCGAATAAAGTGATCATTCCGTCGCCCCCAAAGGAAGATTCTCCTCAACTAAGTGAGGAGCTGAGGAGGGCAGTGGAGAAAAAGAAATGCTCTCTCTGCTCTTTCCAGTCTTTCAGTAAAAAAGGAATTGTGTCCCATTACATGAAACGGCACCCTGGAGTGTTCCCTAAGAAGCAACATGCGAGCAAGCTGGGGGGTTACTTCACTGCTGTGTATGCTGATGAATATGAAAAGCAGCAAGTTCCACCAGAGGAGAGGAATGATTTTGAAAAGCCAGAGGTAGAGATGGAGGCCCCAGAATTTGAGTGGCTTCCCTTCCGGTGTATCAAGTGTTTCAAGCTCTCCTTCAGCACAGCCGAGCTGCTGTGCATGCATTACACGGAACACCACAGCAAGGATTTGAAGAGAGACTTTACCATACTGGGAAGTGGTGCCCGCTTTCAGAACCCCCTCTTCCAGTGCAGGCACTGTGATAGTAAACTGCATAGCACAGCGGAGCTGACCTCACACTTGAACAGTCACAATGAGGAATTCCAGAAGCGTGCCAAACGTCAAGAGAGGAGGAAGCAGCTTCTGAGCAAGCAAAAATATGCAGATGGTGCTTTTGTAGATTTCAAACAAGAGAGGGTAAGGATATGTTTTCACATTTTATATTTATATTTGTGTTTTTCCTCTTCTTCCACCCCCAGAAGATTTTTCATTACTAGCGTCCAGATGCACATTCCCTTTGGCAGCCAAGGAGCTACAAGCTCACCAGTGACTTAGTGTGCCAATATGCCTTAAGTCAATTAAACATTGCAGCCTGATTACACTCCTTCTCTCATTTCTTCCACCTCTTCCTTAAAGCCCTGGCATGCTATTTCTACCACCTTCCCTTTCATTTCAAAGCTAATTTCTCTTTGGCACCAAATCCTGTTAGTTTTTTGGTATGTGGAAACAACTATTCTTCCTACCTGCTCTTCTGCCCCCTGCCCACAGTATTGATAAGGCCAAAATTTAATTTTGTTGCTTAGCAAAATCATTGGGAAGGCATGAAAAATAATTGAGAAGGAAGCTGAATGCAGAAAGCCTTGAGGTTTATGAATTTAAACCATCTGTTTTAAGAAAAATAGATCTATTCCTCCTTTTATTTACTTGATACTATACTGGAACAAGTTGCCTCATTTGTGATGGGAGTCAGAAACCTCACATGGAAAACAAGCTTTTTGAATGACCTCCAATTACATGGTTGGAAGTTTTGTATCATGTTGATCCAAGATAGTAAAACAGTAAATGCGTTTCCACAGCTATTAATGGGAGACTAAATTTTGGTTTGTCACAAACCTTGTTCTCAAGGTAGGACCCCAACAAAATGGGGTCTTGATCCCTTATGTTGACGGGACTGAATTAGTTTCAGGGTGGGAATAATTTTTGTAGTAGAGAAAAACACAAAAAAGCACTGGATGGTGGGAGCCAAGGATTATATAAACAGAGAAAGATAGGAAAGTTAAGGTATTACATCCCCAAAAATTACGTGCCCCAAAATGGGCCCACCTGATGCAAACATGCTAAGACTATGGCACTTCAATAATAATATATTTAAGTCAAATATGAGACTATCCAGGATTGAATCATGCTTCTGTATTGGAGACAGGCAGGAATATATAATATTTTGCTACCTTTGTAGTTCAGATCTCAACTCCAAACACAAAAGATCCATATTCTTGTTCTTCCTTTTTTAGGACTTGCAATCCCAAGAGCTTTACAGAAATTTTTCTCAGTCAAAAAGCATGCAGATCTACTCAGTGCTTAAAACTGTAGGTACTCTCATCAAGACCATATCATCTTCACAAGTATTAAAACTATTATGACTTCCCTGCTACCTCCAAAAACCTTGGGGATTCCAAAAACAACAAAGAATCTTGTGGCATCATAAAGACTAACAAATTAGATGCATGAAGTATCAGCCTTGAATTGGCTGCTCAATACCCACATATGGAGTTGTGTGGGAGGGAGAGATGTAAACAGTATCTTGGGAGGGAATTAAAATGCAAAAAAACTACAGATAGTGATAATTACCTTAACAGTTGTACCTTCCTGCATTTCAATTTTGATTTCAATGTGTTAATCTGGCCCACCATTGCATGCTTGCCATTATCACCCAACAACATTTTACGAATGGCAACTGTTAAGGTAATTACCACTGTCCTTACTTTTTTGCATTTCAGTTCCCTGTGACAATACTGTTTACATTCCCCTCTGCACATGTATATAAAGTTTGACCAATCTGATGTTGACACTTCATACGTCTGATGAAATGCACAATGTCTACAAATGTTTATGCCAGAATAAATACATAAGTTATTAAGGTCCATAGTACCTTTTTTTTTTTTTTTTGCTTCTACAAACTATAATGACTATACCTCTGGATATAATTTCAAGGTTTTTCTTGGAAAAAACTAAGAAGGTCCCATTAGTTTAGCACCAGTTTACATTTATAGCAAATATACATCAGCAGAGATCATGGTTTAGTGGGAAATGGCATGTTATCCATGCTTTTATTCTCTTTCTATACAGAAATGCAAGGTTTTGCATTTATATTTAATATCATCAGTAGATTGCAAAGTTCATTTTAAATTTTCTACATGCCTCTTGGGCTTAAAACAGGGTTTAATGGCACAATAATGTATTTAGGAACCTTTATGCATGAACTTGTGCCACCTCCATGGCTCACGTATTCTAACAAGCATAAAGTTGCTGATTATGTTTGTAGTGCAGTCTAGAGAAAGAAACCATTCCTGAAAGGATGGTTTAATTAATTTTCCAATTCTCTTGTCTTACAGCCTTTTGGTAGCTTGGAAGAAGTTTCAAAACTGAAGGAGAGGAAGGTGGTGGGCTACAAGTGTAAATTTTGTGTGGAAGTTCATCCAACTCTTCGAGCCATCTGCAACCACCTTCGTAAGCATGTCCAGTATGGAAATGGCTCCTCAGTCTCTGCTGCAGTCAAGGTAAGAATATTTAAGAGCTAGTTTGGGGACTAGTTCTTAAACATAAAGAAAAGGTCACTTCAAGAAGGAAGTGAACCAAATTATTGTTTAATTTAATGGAGTTCTGGATCAGGCACTATATTGCTGAAATGAAGCACATTGAACACGAATAGTACATATTAGTCTACATTTTTATTGAATTTAAACGCGCTTTGATTTCTTGGACTGTAATGCTGTTCCATCCCATTCCCTAATGTATGGGAATATTTTCTTTTGAGAACCAAAAGTCGACTGCTTAGTAGAGGTTTTTTTAAATGTTCCATGTCACTGTTGTATTCCCTCCCAATAAACCCCCCTCTTTAGAAAGAAAGAACTGGAGCACATAATTTTTTAAGTTTGCATTTTTATGACCTGCATCCCAGCATCTGCTGTTAGTATAAGTTGCATATCCAGGTCTAGGAAGATGCTGCAGAATTTAGCTCCCTTTGAATTTGTTTTGTCCCCGCACAACCAAATTTTCAAAACTTTGCAATTCTTGCTTTCATTTTTCTAGTCCTTGTGGGCTAGGCAGTGCTTGAAAATGTGTGGGCAGGGTCTTGGAAATACTGAATAAGGTTTCCAAGCTACTGGGTCACATTTGCTCACTTTGCATAGTTGCAGTGTTTGGTTGCTGTAAAATCTTAGCCACCTTGGGGCAAATAGATGCCTTTTTAAAACAGAGTACACACAATCCTATGAATGTCTTCCATGCACAGAGAACCATTCACTTAAATGCTTTGTGTGAACAGAAGAAATCGCTGTGGAATACGTTGGACTTCTAGGAGTGCTCCATTATCTGATCTATCTTGTAATGCAGAATGAATGAAGGTCTGAGTAAATGACTATTCTGAAAGACCTCCCCATCTTCAAATGTAGCAGCACATACAAAGCTGACTTTCTACATACGTGTGATAAAACTCTTTTTGAATTTTGTTCTCCAGGAATAGGGATTTGTATATGATCTAGAAGAACTTAAAGAAATAAAGATTAGTGATCAAATTTTTATTTTTACTTATTTTTAACTCAAATAAAAAATTGAACACTCAAGGGATTAAACCCCTGTATTTGAGAAAAGCAAATTATATGAGGGTTTCTTTCTGAGGCTCTTCTCCCAACTCCCTACATGTGGCAAAAAATAAATATTGCTTAATTTAACAAAACCTTGAATAGATTGATAGTACACAATGCATAGTTGCTGATGAAGGAGACTGAAAAATATTTATTTAGGCAATTCTATAGAAAAGTTGAGCACTGTGTCAACTTTATACCATTCTAGTCATATTACATAAGGAGGTTTGGCCTTTCCTTAGGATTTTTATTTCTATATAGTTTGGTATTATGAAAAATACTTTCTTGTCTATCTTGGAAAGTGATGTGCTCCAGCAATGCTGTTAGCCATTTATATAGTCAGGCTGTACATTTCTATAGAGCCATGTTCTTCACTGTGATTGTAGCGTGTTTTTTTTTTTTTTTTTTGCATAATTAACTCATAGTTGGAATTATAGAGGTGCTACCATTAGAGCAAAATCATAGACTTCCATAGACTTAATGGTAACAATAGGGCAGAAGGGAGTGAGAATTGATGGCTTTGGGGGGATGTGTGTTTTTTAGCAGGAAGCTGAAGATCCTTCACATGCAGCTTTCTTGGAGGGTGTTGAGGGAGCCAAAGACCCTGGCAGTGTTGCCACTGTGGAACTTGCAGAAGCTGAATCTGGACCATCACTGGAAGATGAAACCAGACCTGGTGGCTACCACTGCAGCCAGTGTGACCGGGTTTTGATGTCTATGCAGGGTCTACGATCGCACGAGAGAAGTCACTTGGCACTGGCCATGTTTACTCGTGAAGACAAGTACAGCTGCCAGTATTGTTCCTTTGTCTCTGCTTTCAGGCACAAGTAAGTTACATTTGTTTATAGTAGTTATTATTTCTGCTACTTAATACTCAGTATTAAGAGATTAGACAACCAATAATATCTACAAGTAATGATGGGTACACAGCAATTTCAGGGTCCTGCTGCTGGTTTCATGGCTTGCCTATCTGCCAGTCATGTATGGGAGACACAGGAAAGTGTGGTTCTGTTGTTCACCTGGTGGAGGGGACTGGACCATAAAGCAAAGATGGAAACTACAGTTAAGCTGCAGTCTTAAGAAGGGACCAGGCCTGATAATTCTTCATGCTATCATTTGAGTCAGGCTGGACTCAGACGCTAGTAGGACTACAAAAGGAATGCCAAAACATTTGAACAACTTTCCTGCTTCTGTTCAAGGCATAGTGGGAACTACATGGTAGGGGTTAAGGCTGCTTGTTTTACTGGTGAATACTTTTTGCCTTCTACATCCTGTACTCAGTCCATGACACTGAACTAGAAATTTTCACACATGACACTGGTTACAGAAATTAGTCATTTGTTTTATATGCTGAAAAGAATGGGGACGTATTAATTTTCTGCCTTAACAATAACTGTGGTACAACAATGTCTGTGTTGGATGGCATTAGGACAATTCAGCTTTTCATAACTTTAAGTAGATGCTTATATCTAGCAGTAGAGGAGAAACTCAGGCCCAGGACCAGATAAGATCCTCTGAGGTTGCTGAGACATTCGTGCCCTGTTTCACTGACTCACCCACTCTTCCACTATAATGGACTGTTTGCAGGTTTCCTAGTTCTTACATAGTTTTTTTTCTCATCATAAATGTTGAAGTGGTTCTCTTTAGGCATAGGTACTGGCAGTAAAAGCTGCAACATGCCAGTGGTTGTTTACATTTTTTTACCCTACTCCTTTGACCCTGCATAGCACCAGAATGTACTTCTCTGAAATTGAGTTTAGACCATTGGCAGAAAAAGGTTCCTTGCTCTCAGTGTACAGAATTGAAAATTAACTTTATGTTCTCATTTGTCCAACGGACAAAAGCATTGTATAAATACTATGATAAAAATTATGAATGACAGTAGTGCTTGTTGGCATAACAGGCTTCCATGGAAAATCCATTGTGGCAGAAAGTGTTATTGGCACTGCAAAACATAGCATTATTGTTCATAATGCATTGGATACTGCCCAGAGCACCCTTATTTTGTTTTGTTTTTCATCTTTTTATATCCCAGATAAACTTTTATATTTTGTTTTTAATGAAATGGAATGAATCAATATGTTTTATTAAAGATGCATTCTTTGAAATTAAGCAGATTTACATGATACCCCTCTCCCCAAACACATATACATTGTAGGACTGAATATATTGTGAGATTTAAAATACCTTCAAAACAAATAACAAGAAAAAGAGTACAAATTGTGACATTCTTTTCCTCATGCTTCTGAACTTACTTCAAGTGTGATGGCGATGTATGGGGAAAGAACCTGTGTATGAGCAACTTGCACTTCTATTTTGGCATTTTGGTTAATATCCAGAGTTTCATTTGTTTTACAGGAGGAACTCACCTTTTTCAGTTATTCAAGAGTGCAGTTTGCAGGGTTGTACTGGCCTGGGTTGAGGGGATACTGAAAATGAAGGCAATACTTAGATTCTAAAGTTTTGCTGCATTATCTTAAATTACTTAAAGCAGTAGTGGCTAATAAATGTAAGATCAACTTGATTCCTGCTCACAGCTCTCAGTTCTATTGTGGGAAGTGGGATGATAGATGAGGTGGGAGAGGCAAAAATGTCAGAGGATTCATACTTTTCATGGTAGCCTCTAATGGATAATATGCTAGCTTCCATAATTCTAAACTGCATGTGCAAAGAACTCATGTGCAAATGTGTGTTGTCTCAGATCAGCTCCAGTTGTCCAAACCCTGGTCCAGAGATCTTTTTTAGTTTTCTCTCCTTATTTCAGCAGGTACAAGGGAATGATTTATTTATTTTACTGATGGGCGAGGATGGTGAAGTGTCTATGCAGACAATATTTGAGTTTAGCACGGTGCACATACAATGGTATTAACAGGAGTGTTCATTGAAATAGCATTCCTGTAAGTGTAGTTTTGCCATCCAGGTTTGTAGGGGGCACAACCATTCAAGTTCAGTACTTAGATTCTAAAGTTTTAAGGTAGGATTCCTGTCAGCTTTTCCACTGCCATCTTGGGAATCTTAAATGCAGTACTCAAAGTAAGACACAGTCTAAACCATACCAGCAAAAGCTTTTTTTCGTTACTTTCACTTTATAGATAATGTTTCCAGATCCATTCAGAGAGCCCATTCATACAAGCTGCTTCTAAAGCAAAGTTTTCACTCCCCAGAAGCAATAATATTCCTCTTGGATAAGTAGAAGGGGCAATTTTGCACATCATGGCAAACTATTTTGTGAGTAAGCTGTCATGTGGGTTGTTTGTGGAACAACACATAATACGACTGAAAGACAACCTGGCTTACCATGAGTTGCTATCCCCTTCCTTTTCCTCATTTCTCTAGATACTATCACAAGTGACAGCTGTTTACTAATGCCCCAACCATACTTTGGAGTGATTGTCACTGCCTCCTTACCCCCTTTTTGTGGTAAGGGGAGCACAAGGTCTTTGTATTTTTTTAAAAAAATATGTTCGTCTTTCAGAATTGCACAAGTACACAATTACAGCTGTCAAAAATATTATGTAGTCTTGCCTCATCTATTACCTTGCCAGTTACAGCTGTCAAACTGTAACAAGATATATTGTATATAGGCTGTCAAAATAGACTAAACCATGAACAGTTGGCAGCAGTGTTTGCATTATATTTTCCTTTTATTTACTCCCGGACCATGAAATTTGTATATATCTTCCATCAGTTATTGTCTGCTTATGAAAACTGCATATATTTATGCAATAGAGAGCCAGTGGAGTGGAGTGGAGTGGAGTGGAGTGGAGTGGAGTGGTTGAGAGTGCTGGACTGGACTTCAGGAAATCAGGTTCCGGTCCTGATTCAGCCATCAAGTCAACTGGGTGACGTTGGATCATTCACTCCCTCTAAGCTTAACCTACCTTGGAGCATTGTTGTATGGATAAAATAGAGCTACGTAAGCTAACTTGCTCTCTTCAAATCAGGAGAAAAGGAAGGATTTAAATGCAATGTTGTAATAATAACAGTATACCTTATTAAAAAATGCAAGTTTCCTAGACCCATAAAAAAACCTTTATGATTACAATGTGACCCCATTCACTCCATCTTATTCAGCCCTTTTCTCATTTTTTTAAAGCTGTTGGGGAACCTGGGGAATACCCAAAAAAGACTGTGGAAAGGGGGTAGCCTTAAAATCTCCCTTTTCTGGACTAACTAGAGACTCAGGAAGAGATCCAAAGGTGGAGATCATGAAAATGTCAGTGTGACACTTAAAATTTAGAGGATTACTTTGCTAAAGGGGAGATCTACAGGCCACCCCTTTTGGTACTCTTACCTTCACAGTTTCTTTCATGTTTGCTGGGGTGTTCCAATAGACAGTGAGTTAAATTACTGTTGTCAGCTATTTGTAATTTAGCCTTTATGTACCCTCATGTCATTATCATCTGACAGCTGTGACAGACATGATAATAGACCAGGCAAGAGTATATATATTTTTGACAGCTGTAAGTGCATATGGTTTAACTTTTGCTTCACTCAGAAAATGATGCATTAAAACAATTATGAAAATATTTGCACCCATTTGTGCTTCCCAGTATTTTCTTTATTTAAAAGGTGGAAAACCAGCAACGGTCAATTCAGAGTTCCACTTGGACATTAGTGAAAGGGTTGTCACTGGCAGTGGTATAGGTAAGCTCACCAAGAACCATTCAGGGTTTTGCTGCTCTTGCCAAGTGGCTTACTTCGCACAACCCACCATGAGATTGGTGTCCTGTGTTCAGATGACACACCATCCCAACTGCTAGAACAAGCCATGAGTTGTCAGGATGGTTTCCTCTCCCCAGACAAATCACCCAAGTGGCAAGTGGTCTGGGTTCAGATGACACAGCAACTCACCCAAACCCATCATGGTTGTGCAAGTCCAGTCAAGATTGTACCATTTGGTTGATCTGTAAGAATGTCTGCAGGGATGTTGCTGTGGAATGTCAGGTGTGCAGCAGATCTTTGTAGTTGGTTATGAGAATGTGGGCACCTGTGAGTCCACGCTCAGACTATTCCTATTTTCTGGGTTAGTTGCTATTAAAGTTCCTGCACCATGTTGTCTCTATTTTTCCATTTTAAGAGTATGTGTGTGCATTTTGTAAATGATATCAGTGTGCCCACAAATATGCAAGAGGTTTTAGCCTTCTTTCTAGATCAGCGAATGGAAGTCATTATATCTTGATGTTGGTGCAGAGTAGAAATAAATGCACTGAAAGTGCTTGTTTATAATTGTACAATAAGTTTAAAAAGTAAATTGTTAGGTTCAGTTTACATATGAGCATTCAGTCAGTGATTTTTGACATGAGAACAGCAATGAGTCCAATACCCTGGTGGTCCTATTTCAGTCTGGACTTTGGCTAGATGTATGTATCTTCTTGCTGTTCCTGTCCTTCCCCCAGTTGTCTTAAGTATCACTACATTTTCTCCATCTGAGCTTCTCCTTTCTTCACAGCTCTGATAAGCTTAGCTTCAGGGCTTCCTGGCTATTCTTCTGGGACTGGAGAATATTATTTTTTCTCTCCCTCACCTTCTCCTGAATAAAACCATGGAACCACTAGGGGGCTACTTTGACAGGATGACAGGAATAGCATTACATTCAAGGTTACTTTTAAAGGCATCAACCCCCCCTCCCCCCCCCAATCTCAAGAGCTCAATATGGGCTGTTGGGTGGGCGATTTTAAAAATGAGCTGTTGAATTGGCCTTCAAGTGGCCCTTCTGCTGGCATCTGAACTATCTTCCCAGTTAGGGGTCAAAACATTGCAAATAGTTCCAACATTTTAGTATATGTTCAGTGGTCTTGTTAAATAATTTGATGCAACAAATTGAGGCCATTTTCCTGTAGCTATTAAATTAATGTACTACTTTAACCTCTTTATCAACACTTTCACATTTTGTAAATTATTTATTTTAGTTATATTGTATTCAGGAATTGATGAGGTATTGCAAAACAATGGCTCACTTTGCATTCTGATCAATTTTATTGGTTTTATTGTGTTTGTTTTTAATTGCTAAAGAAAGATGTAAAAAGCAACACTTTATTGTTATTCTTGTCATCTTCACCAATTCTGAGGTGAGAAACCCATTGCTTTCTCTTTATTCTTTTGGATAACTCTATAATCAGTATCTGTAGATCTCTTCTGTACATGTTAGTGTCACAAAATGATTTTAAGTCTATGCAGCACTAAATTTTTCTAGTATAATCTGTATGAAGTCAAATTAGACTGATATCTTGTGCATGTTTAAGTCATAGGAAATCCCATTGAATTTGGTGGTATATACTTTCTAGAAGATATGTATAGGATTGTGTTGCACAACACAATGTTGTGCAAAAGCCTACACTGTTGATAAGCACAACTGATTAGTAAAAACAAGGCAATTTCATACAGTATGGTTTGAAGTAAGCTTGTTTTCACTAATTTTCACCATAGGCAGCTTACTAGTTTTCAATTAAAATTGTTACTTAATGGTCTGGTTCTATTAGGAGAATGCACTGTCTTGAAAAAATAGGCATAAACCATTTTTTTCTGTCTTACTGAGTAGGAACTTCTCAGCCACCTACTGAATATTCTTATTTAGATAAACATTATATGAATGGACAATGGTAATTCATATAGAAATGAAAGCACTTGAAGTTACTGTATATTTACATAGATATTAGTGAGGAAAACTCAACCACATCTTCATATTAATATTCTGCTGTCATATTTGGACTGCATGTAAAAAGATGGAAATTAGAATTGCAAAATTAATTCTTTTCAGTGCTTTAACTATTTGTCTCTATAACTGAAATTCATTGTTTAAGCTTTTTTGAAAGATGAAGGGCTGGAAACATATTTCTAGAGATGGCATTCTTGAGTTGTGGCAGGGTAGATTTCAGCAGTTTGGTAAGAGCAGCAACATGTGGGGGCTGGAAGGCTCTCCCTTGCTGTGGATCTTCAAGACAAGGCTGGACAACCATCTGTTGGGAATGGTCTAGTTCTGCATGTCCTGTATTGATTAGAAAATCGGATTAGTTGGCTTATAAAGGCAAGGTCAACTCTGTGCTTCAGATTTTTGCAAGCACAATATTAAATTTATATGTGCTCAGGCAACTAAGTTTCTGTGATTTTTCATCCTCTAAGTTCTTGAGTTTTCAGCCCAACTAAGAATACCCTATTTACCTTGATCTAAAAGATCTGACATTGGCTTGTTATGACATCTCTCAAACTTTCTTTCCTGCACCTTTATATTATTGGCTTCAGCAAATGCTGAGCCTAATTGTAATGAACACTGGGTGTGAGAGATGAATGAATGAAAATGAACAAAAATATGTCTGCTTACATTCTATGTTCTGCACTTCGCCATGCTTGTCTCCTCATTTATGGAAATTTATTTCTGCTAGTGTAATCCAGAGAAACCATCCTACAGATGGCATCATATAGGCTTTGCTGCCATCCAATTTTAGCTGAAATTATTCATATTTTCTCTTTTTTCTTTTTGCTTCTCATTTTTTCTTTTTCCTTGACAAGTTTGGATCGCCATATGCAAGCCCACCATGGACATCATAAACCATTCCGCTGCAAACTCTGTCCTTTCAAGTCCTCCTATAACAGCCGGCTGAAAACTCACCTACTCAAAGCTCATGCTGGTAAGTCCTATTTTTCCATTTCATAATGAAGATCTCAAGAACATCTCTCTCTGTCTCTCTCTCTCTTTCTTTTGCTGCTTACTGTTGCTGTTAATCAGCCAGCTTGTAACTTTATCAGCTTATTAAGCTGGAGTGTGCATTCCACCCAGCTAGAAGAAAGGTGTTGGTGTGGTGCTGGAGTTAGGCCAATACTACTTTAAGCAGAACTGAACTTGGAACTGGACCAATCATATTAGGTCGAGAGGTGATCTTAAATTGGCGGCAGGTCAGAACTTGAAATCAGACATAGAAATTACTTGTTAGGGTGAGAATCAGGGAAAGAGGTAGAAGAGGTTTGAGGCCAAGATAGGACTCTTTACTTGATCTGGAAGGTGTTTGTGAGGAAAACACCTTAAGTGAGTGATAACCTCAAATATGCTTTGCTGAAAAGTGTGCTTTCAAAGGGTATGAAGTTCACCCTGAAAGGAATGTCAATAAACATTTTCATGCTGTGTTTTGAACCTGTTCATACACATTGTACTCTCATATTTTTGTTTTGTACCATCTTTAAAGCAGGAATAGGGCAACTTCTTTTTCTTACACTATGTGATCCCAGCGAATCAGGGATCACATAATATGCATGATGATATCACAGATGGGCATGCGGCTAACTAAAGTTTATTTTATTTCTATACTGCCCAACAGGTGAAGCTTCCCGATTGCATTACAATGAATATCACAATGCACATATCTTGCATGGATAGCTATAGGGTTTGTGCTTGGATGCCCAGTTTGAGAATACATAAACATTCTGATATGCATTCCTAATATGGATTTTGGTGGATGTATCCTGTTTTGTCACTTTGCAGTGGCTTTGCTACTGCATTGTATCACATAAAGAATGTTTTCAGGTATTGTTCTTCTCCAACTGAAAGTACTTATGCATCCTTTGGAATATCCCCCCCTTAAAAATGCTGAAAATGGCGTTTATTTTTTTATGGGTATGAAAACATTTATGTAACAACTGCTGTGGTTTGGCTCAGTTCTAGTACAAGTTAGACTAGTATGCAGGCTGTTTGTTCTTTGAAAGGCAAGCTTTTTGCAACCCGTCCCAGACTGGGTGGGTATGATGGGTGGGAACTTAATTCTGATAATGCTAATATTTTTGGCCATGGTCTTCATTAGCGATATTGCAATAGAAGCCGTAAGTAATTGGATCTGTGCTGCTGACTCATTAGCGCATGGGAACTTGGGTGTTCATTTCAAAGCCAAGAGCTCTGATACGAGCTGCCTGCTGCAGAGGTATTCTTAGTCAAACAACGGCAATAATTATATTGAGTTATATAGGGGTGCCACTTTCTAAGATAAAGGTGGTAAGAAGCTTCCTTCAGTTCCACTTCTCATCTTAAATGTTGTTCATTTTATACTTATACCAATGTGTTACTTCAGCATGTTATCATTCATAACTGTATCCACGCCAAGTCCTGTTCTTGTGTTTCTCAATACTCTGATGAATGCATAATGGCTTTTGATTAGCATTGTGCTGTATCCTATTAGGAATTCTTCCTATGTATGCAGCTATTCCTTCTATCAAATAGTCCCAGATGACCTTTAGTTTACCTAGGTTGCTTTAGATCAAGGGAAATGGCTTTGCCCACTTCTGTGGAATTTCCCCCTTTTCCCACTCTCCAGCTTGCCCCCTTCAGCAAAACCCCTGAACCTTTGTGTAGCACTTTCAGGGGCCTAGAGTAGCTGCTGAGGGCAGGAGGAGGGAGTGACAAAGTCCACTGCAGGTCATTTGCTGCACTCGTTATCCCCCCCACCCACCCCCATCACTCCCTCACCCATCAAATCCCTCTTAGTTCTTTGGGTTGTCTTGTTCCAACAATAATGTTTAAAAAAATGGCTGTGGCAGTCGTAGTCTATAAACAACCATGTGTGGTCCACAAGCATTTGTTTTCTCATAATTGCAATAAGTTTCAGAATATGGTATTGTGATTTTCCAATAATTGTATGTCTTTCAAAAGATGTAGTTTGGTAATTTCTAACAAACTTTACATAGATGGATTATATGCCTTCTCTCTGCCTTGACTGTTTCTTCCCACAAACTATATTCATGAAACTATTCACAATTGGCGTCTTTCACCAGCTAAGCATGACAGAGATGTATAAAATAATAAATAGCATGGAGAAGGTAAATAAAGGTAAATAAATCTCCTCATAGCAACAGAGAGAATTGGGGATCATCCAATGAAAGACATCTCTAGCAGGTTCAGAATAGACAAGAAGTACTATTTTTACTAAGTGTACAAATAACTTCTAGAATATCTTCCACCAGATATGGTGATTAGCCACTAGCCTAGATTTATTTTAATGGGTTAAACAAATTCATGGAGAACTTGTCTATCAGTATTTACTAGCTGTGAGACCTAAATGAAGCTTTTGTACATCTGAGTACCAGGTTATGGGGAAAAACTATAGGGGATGGTCTTGCTTGCATGTTTCCCATTGATTGGTTGATCATATTGCAAACAGGTTACTAAACCAGATGGACCTTTCTTCTGATCTTGTAGGGCTGTTCTTCTGAGCTCAAATGTGTTGCATTTATTTATTTATTTATTTATTGAATTTCTTGCCTGCCCTGTTAGCCACCCGGCTCCCTGTTTATGCTACTCAGTGTGTGTTTCATTTAATTTAGCTGGGAAATTTCCAGGTCTTATGGGTACTTAAAAAAAAAAACCTCATTCAAGTTTTGATTTTGATACACTAGCACATATCTATATTGACTAAGGTAAACAGTGTTCTTAGGCCTCTTTGTTTCATCTGTTGCCACTTTTTGGAGGGTGTGAGATTCCTTACGTAGAATTTGTTATGCAGCTTTTTTTCTTTGTCTTGCAATTTAGAGTAATTATTCGTAGGAACTATTATATTGTGAGTGAGTTTATTTGAGATTGTTCATATGAGATTAGGAAGGTGTTGGGAGTGAATATTGATTTTTACTCTATATGCAGAACCTTAATATGTAGAGTACAGTGGTTCAGTGCAGCAGGCTGTGATGGCAACCTGCAAATGAAGTAACCGCAGCCCTATGTATACAAACATGAAAATGCATTTCTGCAGTGTCCAGCAGTGCAAGGAAATTCCTTTTCCCTTTCCCAGTCACCTACATTCATCCCAGCTCACTTACACATGCGAAATGGAACATGGAGTCTGACATTTATAGGCTTGAAAAGTGTGACAAATGGTGAAGGAAGGAAGCAGGGTTGTGGCTCTGCTTTGCATACAGTTGCTACTTTCAGGACTTTCAAGCAGCATAAACCAGGGGCAGGGCAGGAAAGCCTGATCTCTACAGGACCTTGATGGGTTGCGTTTTGAGTTATGTACTGCTGTCTTAATGGAGAAATTAAGCTAATACTTGTTTGTATTAGAAAAGGGTATACAGTATTCAGTCCTATAGAATGAGGCTCTTCTGTTCATTGTTTTACCTCACTGGTTCAGCATTGACTTCAGGGCCTCATTCACCTCCTGCTTCATAGGTAACTTATATTTTTATTTGAAACTCCTCTTTTCTCTATAAATTTAGGTGAAACTTAAACTTTAGTGGAACCACTCTCACTGTGGTGAGATTGGCATGTATGGTGTCTGAGCTGCCATATTTCAGAACAGGATGGTGAATTGCTTGTGAATATAATCATTCTAGGATACATTTTTAAAGGGAATTATTTTTATCATCTCCCTCTTGTCATAATACTTTTCCAACACATGCTTGGTGTTGTGGTCTGTGTCGCTATTTGTATGTTCAGGTTCACTGAAAAGACCAGGCACAGGGCTCAGCCTGTGCTCTCCTTCACATGCCCCTTGTGGATAAGTGAACAATGGTTATTAGTTTGTTGAATGTGGCAAGATCTCTCTGACCTTGTAGGATGAATCCCTTTTGTATCAAGTTTCAATTCATAGTGTCAAAAAAATATCTTTGGTTGTTTATGTCTCTCTACTCTGGAGAAGAACATGACTAGGACAGAAAAGGTGTGTGAGAGGAAGCATGCAAACTTGAAGCCAAGTCTTCCTACATATAATTTTGGCTGGGGAAGGAGATGAATCATATTATCAGAGTCTGTATTTATCCCCCAGTCCTCCTCAATGTTATGCAGTCCCTTGATAGGTTGGTCAAAACCCTCTTCTACATACACATCAGGTTTTTCGTAGCAGCAAATTTACTCTGCATAAACAGTTTTTCTCCCAATAAGCTTGTGTAACAAGAGTGCACTGTTGGTCTCAAAATGAGACTGTTTTTGCTAGGTAGATGCAATCCCCGATCAGAATTGCATCTTGTATGCATTAGCTTTCATATTATATCTGCTTCCATATAGACTTCACAAGCAGCTTTTGCAACTTCTGTATGATTTGGATTGTACTTCCTAATTGCATGGCTTTCTTCTGTCCTTTGGCTTCCATAGCAGAGTTTCCATCTGGCTTTGTAATCTATACGTGGCATTCTCAAGTACTCTCTTTATTTTACACTTGCTCTTCCCCAAGTATTGCTTGTGCTGTGCTGAATTTAATTTTAGACCCCTACTTCATTGTGTTAGGTCTGTATAACCAAGGGGTATCACTCTGGCAGATGGTTTCACTCAAGGAAAATGGCTGTAAGGGGATGCTAGGGAATGCTAGTGATAAGAGGCACTACCAAGAAGAATGATAGCTTACAGAGAACAGTATTGCAAGAGATTTCTGAGCATACATCAGGTTCATGCTCTAAAGCCACAGCCTGTTTCTGCTGTTTTATACATACTGCAGTCTTCTAGCGTCTAAGAAAACACAAATGGGTTTTTCTCCCTTGTCAAGTTCCAGGGAGAGCAAACTTAATGAGTGGGTCAATTTATTCCTTTTCCATCACCTTTTCTTCTGATAGTAGCATTCTGTAAGAGTAATGAGACTTCCTTGCCCCTGATCACATGACATGAATCACAATTGTGCCAGGGCTCCATCATTAGCCATGTTAATCAATATTGTACCCACCAAGAACCATTTTGCATGAATATCTTACTTGTGGTGTCCACTTCAGTCACTGGTGTCTCCCTCCTTGAATCTTGGAGGTTGACTTTTATGCCCAAAGCAAAAGCTGCACAACCTGCACCTCTTTCCTCCTCAGACAACCTCAGTGTTGTTTTTGGGTGGTATCCAGTTTGGCAGGTTCTACTTGGCAAGTAGCTTCCATGCAGAAGGCTCCACCAGACAAATAGAAATAGGACAGTTAAAATGAAGTTACTCTCTTTTTAAGACTATCCACAAGAGGAACCCATGGGATTCTCACTGCTGAGTTCAATAGAAGGAGAAAGATTTCCCCCCACCCATCCCCTTCTTCCCTTCCTATTTTTCCTGTCGTCTTGTGAGCTGATGACTTGCCTGTTATTTCGCTCACCCAGGTGAACATGCCTACAAATGCTCCTCCTGCTCATTTTCCACCATGACAATCAGCCAGCTGAAAGAGCATTCCCTGAAAGTGCATGGGAAGGCACTGACACTACCAAGACCACGCATTGTCAGCCTTGTAACCTCGCATGCTCAACATGCCTCCAAGAACCACACTACCGCTGAAGAAGTGGAAGACTCTAATGGTAAGAGGTAATTACAGAAAGAAAAGAAAGGAAAGGAACCCCAAAACAACAAAGAAAGAAAGAAAGAAACATTATTCCTCTGTTTATTGGGAAGAAAAATCAGCTTGATCAAGAAGTAGTTTTGCATTTTGTAAAGAAATTACCCTTAGTGAATAAGCAAATCACAACCCAAAAGGCAGAAGAGCTGTTCTAATTCATGCTCAGGCCACATAATTGACATATTAATAGTTTGATTTGCCTGCATTTCTCATTGAGTATCTTGGTGTCCCGTGTTATTAATTCTTAACTACTTTAGCATAAAGGAACCAAAAATATTTTCCAGGCATTCGATAGCTGAGGAGTACAAGGTGAATTTTTTTTGTTATTGAAACAGACTTGAAATATTATCCATTTTTGGCTGTCACTATTAGTATTGTAGAATGAAGTGATACTTTAGGGAAACAAATGTATTACTTCACTTTTATAGTGGATCATTTAGTGCGAATCTGATGGGGCCCCTCCTTAGCAATAGCGAAGGGATGGGCTATGCCATCCCTCCACTCAGCATTTCTTTGCAAATTCTCATATATCCTTCCTCAAGCTTGTTAGTGTTTGTTAGTGCTTGAAGCTGGTTAGTAAGAAGAGGACCTGTTAAGCATTAATGATAAAGAACTGCTTCACCAACATAGCCCTTACTTATGTTGAAGAGTAGAAGAAGGAGCATGATCCAGTCCCTTTTCTTTACTAACGGTTAAGGAATAGTCCATGCTATCTCCATCGTCCCTTTGATTTTCTGCAGAGGGTGTTTTGATACTTCTGTTTCATTTGAATAAGTTGAGACTTTTTGCCTGCAATGGGGCACTGTTTGTTCTTAGTCCTCTAGGAAATCTGGAGTTTTGTTACTTATTCTTACAACATTCTTAGGCAATATATTTAAGGCAGAATGAACTCTAGCTGAGATTTTGTGCGTCAGGTTGAATAACCCTGATGATCCTGCTTGATCCTACGAAAATATGAATTGTAGCACTTTGCAATTCGGAAAACAGCTGAAATATGCACGTTGTGCCTTTTATCCTTTAAATTTAGTACAGGAATAGGTAGCCACTGACAACTTTTTTTTTCCAAGCAGAGCCTTCTGAAAAATCCAAATGTTGCACACCTTGGGTCAAGCTCTCTTAGTGTCCACTTTCAGTAGATCCATCTGCTCCAATATTACAATGTACTTGTTCCATGGTTTACTGCTGGAAAGAATAGTTGCTCAACAGTCACTGATTTTCCTTTCTTTTTAAGTACAGGGAAATGTTGGTGTCTGTCCTGTCCCTTATTGTGGGTCAGCAAAGTTTTGAAAATGAGCAAATTAGTATAACAGTTCTCAAGAGCTTGGAACTCTTGTTCATTGTCACCAAGGACTCTTTCATGCAGTATGAAGGAACAAAATCCATGTTTCGCATCAAGTATATACTCAACAATAAGCTATAGCCAGTCACAGTTCACTGATGAGTGTACCTCTTTAGTGCATGTTTGTGGAATTAACATTATATTTTATATAAAAATACGTTAAATTTGAACACCAGAAATCAATAGGTGGAAAGCAGCCCTAAGATAATGTTACAGATGTCATGTGTATCTTTGTAAAATGTTTAATATTGGTGATAGGGAGAGAGGCAGGGGGCAGATGGCTTTCTTGTTAAATGTTTCCTTCATTAGAGCTTTCTCATAATAAGCAACCTGCCCACGTATTGTCAATGCCCAAGGATTTCTCTGTTAGCTGGATCAGCTTCTGAAGTAGAGGGAATGTGTTACAAATACCCACTCACCCTTTACTAATAGGTTTATTAATCAAATTATTTTTTGACAATTATGGAAGCAACCTACTAAGGAGACTGTCAGATTACAGGTGTTCAAATAATCAAATAGACATTCTCAGCATCACTTGCTGGAAAAAAATCCCTCCAGTAATTTTCTAGACTTTATGGTGCTGGACTTAACATCTATTAATTTGATCTGTGGTAGTGACTTGATATGTTTTTGAATATCTAAAAGGGAATTTCACAGCTACATGACTCTTTTTGAAATTGCATACTACTTGTGATGCATAAGGAATAGATAAGATATTGCTTAAAAGTATACAAAAAGCAGGGATATATGTGACATGTAGGCTTCATTTAATATTACAAGCTTGAGAGAATTCTGCTGTTTTGCTGTGTATAAGCCACCTGTATTTCAAGACAGCTGTGATCTAGTTAAAAATGATACAGAATTGGATCAGAATGTGAGCAAGTGATCAGCATCGGTGGAAGTGACATTAATTATAGAATAGTATTTTTCATGGATGGGGACTGAAGGGACTAGAATGCAGAACCATTACATTTTAATGAGTCGTGTTAATCAACTAGGTTGTACTATGTGTGTTGTAGGTCAGCTCAACAATGTATATATTAATTGGTTCTAACAGTAGTATCTGTTTGTTAGAATTTCTAAGCTATGTGGCACGTGGGAGTATTTACAAGGAAAGCAGTAAACAAGTGTAAATATAAGTTCTTTCAGGTCGCATTGACTCCAGGGCAAGAGTTAAACACAAATTTTCAAACTCTCATAGAAATATATGAAACTTAAAGTCACCAACTTTGGTGGGGTCATGTTATAATTGTTCAACAAATGCCAACAAAACAAAACAAAACCCAAACCACCCCAGCTTATTTTCTACACTTAGCACCACCCTGTTTTCTTTTTGTCTGGCAGTATTCCAAGAGGTGACAGGGTGAAAATGTGTCTACCAGTCAAACATCCTTGTATGTGCACATTTTCCATAAGACCAAAACCCTAACTAATTGAATATCCAAAGAATTGTACAAGCAGGCCTGCATACTCCTGCAGCTCCTGCAGAGTGTCAGTATCAGATCGCTGCTTTGAATTCGGAATGGTGGTTGGTGGCAGAGTTGTACTTAATTTGACACACTCAGCTAGGGAAATTTGACACACTCGGCTCAAGCCAATAATGTATAGCCTGCAAAATCCTTTTATACAACTGTCTGAGAATGTGGAAGGGCCTGGAAGGGAGTTTCATTAACAGTTTGTAATATTGCAGGGAAACATGCTGTCCAAGTAGCATATAGGGAGTAAAAAAAAGTTAGTGGGCATGGTCACCTTAGGTGGATCCCAGTCATGTTTTCTGCTTTGGGGGAAAGGGTTAAGGTTAGGGTAAGATTAGGGTTGGGTATAGCCATGCAGGACTACTGATGGCTAGAGTCTACTTTCTCAGTGGGAGGAAAGATAAAATGGAAGGTAACACTTTATGAATGTGACAAGGTGCTACAGGTGTCATTGCTGTATATATGTCAGTAGGAAATTTTCTTTAAAAATTTGAAGAAAGATCCTTAAAAGAAAGAATCCATAATACTGAAACATATATTTAAAGCAAAGGTTTCTGTCCCACAAAGTTCTGCACTTCAGATTCATGCTTGAATGCATTCTGGAGTTGTTTCAGGAAAAGTTGTCAAAGAGGTTATTAATGTTTCCTTTTTTGATTTATGACTGCATAATTCCAGGGAGACCTAGTATGCTGAGGTTCTGTCACCTTAACTTAGTTTTGCATTTTATAATGTACAGCCGATACAATAGCTATGTTCTGGTGTATAATTTCTTGTTTAATAGTTAGTTTCAGTATAAAAGATTTAGTTTATAATTTTACAGTGTGTGCCATGACTTTAAGTTTGCAGTTCATAATCCTTATACATTGGAATTATGATTTGTAAAGTCTCAAACTGCATAAATCATTTTATCACATCAATAGAAGGCCATACCAGTTCTTTTAATATGCACACTACAGAGCTGAAAAAGGAAATGAATTCTTGAATTTGTATTTGCATTAAGAATTCATGTTTGTTTCAGTCCTTTAGAAAGAGTGCAAACTTGACTTTGAGGGGAAAACCCTCAATTTAATGATTAAATTGACAACAGAACATGAGTTTGCAAAGGTACGAAGACATTCACTTAGGACCCAGTTCTCTTGACTGCACCCTCAGTGCTTATACGCCTCTGAACTCAGAGACTTTTGAGCATCCAATGCATAGCAGGAGAAGTGTCAGAGACAATCTCTGCATTTTAGTTAGATAGCTGTTTTCAGTCACCCAGCTGAGGAGCTTTGGATGAGGAAGGAAGTAGGCTGGAGCACCGCCACAATGCACTGTCCTAGTATCCCCAGATTCCTCCTGTCCCTGCATTCTGGAGCACCTCCTTTATTTTCTTTCCAAGCTTTATGTTCAGGGCCATAGAATTACTTTTTAATTTACTTACACATACTTACAAATGTACAATTTTGGTTTGAACTGGTAGTAGAAATGAGTACAATAGAGATGTTTAGAAATAGGAATGTTCCATCAGGAATTAGGGCTATTAGAAATTACTTTAATTGCATTGGATTCTTTTCAATAATGTTACTCTTTGAAGGTTGTTGAGAATCAAAGCGGAAATCTTTTCCAAAGGTTGAGTGTATTTATTTTTCCTGCTAGGACAATGGTCTTACAGACATGCACACTTTGACTGACTCAAGACTCTCTTAACTGTATTACAATAGCAATCTTCCTCTTTACCCTGCTGATCTTGTTGAACTAAGTTTAAAAATCAGTGTGGAGTTATAATATGGCAAAGTGCTGCAAAAGAAACTGTCGGAAGAATTCCTTGGGGTCAGTGTAGATGTAATGCTGTCTGATTGCCTAACCTTGCTTAGGCATTTGGTAGTGCCCAACTTCCTCTCTCCCTCTCACGTTTTAGTTTCAGAGAGACATATATAACTAAAATGTTCACTAACAGTTGGTGCTAAAGCAAAGATCATCTCCACATTTAGGAATGGCTTTGCAAAAAGCTATTTGGACTAACTTTGGCTAGACATTATGCTAATCATTTTAAACTCTGAAACTAAAGGAAAGAGGGGATGTCGACATGACGGGGTGCAGGCATTTGTGAACCTGCTAGATGCTGACTGCTGTTAGGTGGTTGGACAATGCTGCACCGGAACCAAG